TAGCTTCCAGAGTCCGAGATGCTTAACTGAACGTATCAAGGCACTGAGGGTTCAATTTCCAAATTTCCGTAAAATTCGTTTAGCAGACAGTCCAACACGAGAACTGGGCATCTTCTGATGGTGCATGAGTGTGTTTGCAGTCCAGAGAGCGAATAGGATGTGTAGAATATTCCTGTGATGACAGTGTATTCCTTCTTCTGAAGTCCAGCCACTTTTTAATTTCTGTTCTGTATCAAAGCTTTATATTACCTACACTCCTGTATTTCTATTCGTAGACCTACAGTACAGCGTGATATCACAAGATCTGTTTTCAGAACCTTTATATCTTTAAGGCTCATTTCTTGATTCCACTGTAGGTAACAGTTCTATAAAACCATTTCATCACATTAAATACATGGTTTCAAAAGGTGGTTATTCACAGATCTGGTGATATGACTGGGTTTCCAATCTCTATGACCCTGCATGACCTGGATTGTCCACCATAATAACGTACACTACAGTAATCCGTTTAAAAACAAAAACAAAACAAAAGAAACAAAAAAAACAACCAGGGACACAAAAATAATTACATTAAGAATGCCCAGGACTTTTTTTTCCTTTTTTAATATAAACATTAAAAAAAAAAAAAAAAAACACACAGCAAAAAAACCCCACAAAAAACCCAAAAACAAAACCCACAAAAAAACAGTACCTGGCTCCAAAGGTAACTCTTCAAGTTCCTGCAGTGAAAAAGATAAAAAAATGGAGAAATATCACTATTTCATAAGAAGTCAAAGTGTTATTCCAAATGACAGCTCTCACCCCCTCAAGACAGGAGAGAATTTGGGGACAGAGTTACTATAATTTAGCCTTTTTCAGCTTTGAAAACATCGAATGTTAAATAAATTTCTCGCAAGAAGATTTAATGTTACTTTTCAACATCTTCAAACTTTACAAAATACGTAAAAACTTCAATATTTCTCCAATTCAGACACCTGTTGAACACACGGTACACATTCGCATGGGTAAATAAATCAACAAACATAAGCAGCATAGGACTAAAGTTATCTTTGTGTTACCCTTCTCTGTAGTCTACTTTAATAAGTCTGCTTTCTGAAAACGGGATCAACAGAAACACCAGCTTCACCTGGAGCTATGAGTGTCCTTAACCTATTGTGAGTGATCTGGAAACAAGGCCAGCAGTTCAGGAATAGATCAGTTCCAGCTTTCTTGTCAACACAGAATATGTCCACTTGTAATGGAAGTTAACTATAATGTAAGGCACTGAGTTGGTTTATACAACAGATAAAAAATTTCCAATCTAGCACCCAAACTCAGTACGATATACACACCATATATGTATCTGACCTGATAAAGAAATATATGTATCTATCTTTGTCCAGATGATTATTATTCCTATTCTTTGCTGAACAAGAATGCACCCACTGTGTACTACCTGTAGGTGTACTGTTTCAGCATATACTTTATATGGCATATGTCTTTTTGTTTGTAAAGAAAAATTGGTTACCATTTACCTTTATTATGGCTAAATCAGATGAAGAAGCATCTAAACTGTTTCCAACATCTTCAACCTCTACCTTTAAAAAGTAAATGGAAGACATTTTGTTATCTATAAAAGAACGGTATTGCAAATGAAACCTGAATGAGAAATCAAAGATTTTATTTTCACTGACAACTGATACTAAGCAAATATATCTAGCACTCCAAACAACCAATAAGGGTAAAAACTGATCAATGACCCTCACACCTCTTCCCAATCCCCACCGACTGAATAAGCTTTCTCATTACCTCTCAAGTATGCCGGTCAGCTCACAATAATCTTTTAAGGATACGGATTCCAACAGCAAACTCTCTTACTCCTTCTCTCTTATTTACAGCAACAACATAAAGTCAAAAAGTCTACACAACTCGATAACTGTTTTCCATACTGATAAAAGACCGCAGGAGCTGACCTGGACTCTGGTAGTTTAGTCACTGAAAAAACCTACTTTCTGGGTATTTCTACTTCACTTGTGTGTTGCAGGGATATGCTTGGGGATAGGGTGTTAAGCTTATTTCTGCAGCTTTCAGAATTGGGGGGGAAACCACCCAGCTTTAGAATCTTGTAGCCCAGACTGATGACACAATGTGCACACACAACAAAGAGCTATACATCCCTATTGGATGGGGCAGAAGTAACTTTCTTCAAACGCTTTGTTGTACATTTCAGGAGATAAAACACTTGACTTTGGGGAAAAAAATTATCTTCTAGCCCAGATGGACAATGTCATATAAGCAGTGCAACAGCCAGATGAACACAGAGAGCCAACATAAAAATACTTTCAACAACTGAGTAACTGCGAGATCCTATCTTAACATAAAAACAATCTAGGATATAGTTTCCAGGACACTGCTGTTCAGCTTAATGAAGTAAATAAGGCTACAGAATTTGTATGCTTTTCATGTCCTCCTAAATAAAGGAAAGATACGAAAATGGGAATGTAAACATAAGGTGAAGCAAAGAGTTCAAAGCATGGTTAAAATGAACATTTTCTGGATTACTATTAATTTGTACCATCACATGTGTACAAACAATATCTAAGCATTTTAAATTTCAGAACTCTACTTCCACAAATACATAAAAGAAAAAGCAATGACCATGAGAACTGGTAGAGTCCCAAATTGTTTCAAATACTTTTAGCTATTGTTTTGCTATTTAATTAAAAAAAAAAAAAAAAAAGGAAAAAATAATCGGATTCCACACACATAAGAGATGCATACCATCACTACTGGTATTTCTCTTGATTCTTCTTTAATTTCTGAAAATTGTGGGGATGCCTCCAAGTTACCTACAGCATATTCTGTAGGCTGATCTGTAAGTTCTTTCACTTCTGCATCAGCATTTTCTTTACTATCAGACAGTGAGTCAAGAATATTATCAGCACTGTAATCCTCTCCGCAATCTACTGCATTGCCATTATCTATTTCAGCTTCATCTAACACACTAATATCCATCATGTCAATATCCTGCAAGTTATCCAAACTTGCTTCAATATCCTCCTGTAAAAAGAAAAAAAGTATATATAATAGCCATTGTAACTTGAAGGCAATGCTATCATTACTTTGTTTCAAATAGAGCCTCACATACCTGTCCGTCTCCCGAATCTTCTTCCAGGCCGTTATCGTCTACTCCCTCTTCATCTGGTCTACGTCCTAACAACATTATGATTGTTAGAATGAAAAGTAGGTAAAAACACATATCCTTCATCAGAGTTTGTATTTCATGCAGTTTAGTTAGCTGCTTTTTCCTTATTTTCCAAAACTAAGTGTTCATATACCATCCCAGTTTGGTAACTGACAAACATGCTACAGTCCAAGGTCTGTCACAACTTCAAGAAGCACCACCGTACACTCCCCAGAACATTTGGCTCAGCTGAGACTGCAACTATTTATCATCTCAAGCTTTCATTTCTTTACAGACATTTACTAGAATTAAAAAAAAAAAAGGCAACCAAACAAAAAAACCAACACAAAACAATGAAAAAACCCCACTCTATGCGTAAGCATTACTGCAGTGCTCCGTTCACCAGCTGGACACATAATATCAGAACTAACATTACTGAAAACAGTACAGCAGTTTCAGCACCAAACAGTAACTCCTCAAATTCAGAGCGAAGTAGTTGATTCATCTTTTATTTAACGTTATTTTCCTCAAAAACTACAAGCACATTATAATAAAAAAGGCAAAGGGGTTTTAGAGCTAAGAGAAACATCTCATCTACTTTCAGCCAAACACTAAAAGTGCTATAAGGTACATTAGGTATTTTTCCGAGACTTGAAAACGAACGTGATTACTAAAGATCTCTGCTTTTACCCACAGTTGTGACATTTGTTCTCTTTCCAGTGAAGATTTCACATTTTAGTTTGCAAGCAAATGTAGTACCACTGCAAACTGGATGCAACAACAAAAGTCTAGATCAAACAAATTAGTTGGCAAAACATTTGAGCTTCATCTCTCAAATTTACACTTTGTGTAAATCAAAATTAATAATTTAATTAAAATCCTTCATCTAGTTATTCTGCTCAGCTCTAATACAAACGTTGCAACAGTATTTGATTACAAAATAAGATCAAACTAGTTAACTAGTGCTAGTTAACTAGTTTTAGAAAACTAGTATTTCTCAAGGACTATATAAGACTCTATCACCATTAGAAAATTCATGCCTAGAGAAAGCTTTAAAAACATATCCATTTCTGATATTCCTTAAAAACTAGTCTTCTGGGGAGAAAAATGAGACTGCTATTAGTTATGAAGCATAACACACTACATTGTGTTATTTTGAATCTGCTAGAGACCCTGCATTTCTATCTCAAAAAAAAAAAACCCTTACATTTCTCAAAAGTAAAGGTACAATCACGTAAAAAAACCAATTACCTATTTTAAAAACACTGACAACTGCCTCGGTGTTACTTAGTAATTCCTGCGACAAATTTCAGGGAATTCTGAAAACAAACCAACAGACCCTTTGAGTGGACCAATTCCTGCCTTATTAAATTACATGAGGTTCTGTGAATAAAAGACCAGTAAGTTTAATATCATAAGTAAGTTTTACCCAAATCTGTCTCAGGCAAGTAATGTTAGCTATAGCTTTGGGACTGCATAACATTCAGCAACAGTGATAAAATTAAACCAAGCACTTTCCCAAAAGGAAAAGCAGACTTGAGAAAAAAAGATTAGCAAGGTTCCATTCATAAGTAAAAGCTGCTAGAAAAGTTGCATCCAGTTCTCCCTGGAGGTGTTCAAAAACATGCTGATGTAGCGCTTCTAGACACAGGTTTAGTGGGTATGGTGGTCTTAATGTACACAGTTGGACTGAATGATCTTAGAGGTCTGTTCCAATCTAATGATTCTATAATTCTAAAACTCAAGGGGGATGGGGTGGAGATCCTCTCTAACTGCCCTGTACCTTTGCTGCTTCTTTTTGGAGTTTTCTTCATGATATTTTCTGAAACCACTGGCATTTCATCAGGATTCCCCCCTTCCTCCTCAATAGCCTATTAAGGGGAAAAGATAGAGACAGATATCAAGACAAACATAAAAATTCTATTTGTGCATTTCTGTTGAGTTTAAGAGCTGGACACCAGAGGCACAAAACCAACAATCTAGCGCTTTGATTTAGACAGCAGCAACTTGAATACACAAATCAAATACCACCAGATAAAAACAACAAGCACACAGGACACAGTAACACGTTGGTGTAAAGTTTCTGGAAAGCAGTCGGCAGCATAACCTAAACGAAGGAAGTCTGCAACATTTTCAACAGCGCCCACATATACGCACCAGGGTGTCGCAACAGACTAAGAATCCTGGCTCTAGGAGACAACAAATATCAGTTCAACGGAAGCAGTCTACATGCTACGGACATACCAAAGTCTGATGAGGATACATCGTACAGGCTATCAGCTAGAAAGCCAGAAAAATATCAGTACACAGCAAAAAGCCCAGTAGACAGCGTACAGAACTGTAAATCCAGGAGCTCAACGCATGGCGGAAAGCCCAGCGATGCATGAGGCTAGAAACCCTTGGGCCGAGTACCACAGCAGACACGTTGTGCTGTGCAGGTCTAGGAAGCCGGAGGGCGGCTCACTGCGTAGACGGAAACGCGAGACTCGCACACACACACTCCACCGCTACCAGAACAGATTGGCGGTCTCAGGGGCAAGCCTAGGACGACCAAGTACGGGGCCGCACTTGCCACGCACAGAACGCTCGCTTGGGACCTGGCGGGCTCCACGGAACCACCCCCAGAGCCCAGCGCACGCCCCCCGCTCCCTGCAACTGCTCTCCCTCCGCTCTGCGGCCGTTTGGCGCCATTTTCCTCGGCCGTGCCTGGCAGGCGCGAGTCGTGCACGCGCCGGCTGCGCCTCCCCCTCAGGCAGCCCCGGCATGTCTCCCTGCTCACCTTCCTGAGTCGCTCCATGAGGACGCTCTTGTTTCCACCGCTGTCCAAATTGCGCCGCTTGAGCTCAGCCCGCAAGTCTATCACGCGCAGCTCACTCAGCCGCCGCCGGTTTTCAGACTCCGAACCGGAGACCCCAGAGCCACCCAGGGACGCAGATTCCCCCTGCCCGGCCGCTGACTGACTCTCCGCCATAGGGCCGTTGTTTCGACTCGCACGCACGGAGCGAGACAGAACAAAAACAACGGCGGAAAGCCGCAGTTGCGGCACAAAATGGTGGCAAAACCGAGACGCACTGAGGCGAAAGTGGGAGGGAAAGGAACCGCAGCCCGCACGCGCATTGACCAGAACACCCGAACGGGCTGCGCGCATGCACAGAGGAAAGTCCCCACTCCGCGGCTATTGCCGATGCGCATGCGCACTACGCCCTTTGACTACCGCACCGCAGGAAAGC